TAGTAGTAGTAGTAGTAGTAGTTGTAGTAGTGGTAGTAGTAGTAGTAGTGGTAGTAGTAGTAGTAGTAGTAGTAGTACTAGTAGTACTACTAGTAGTAGTAGTAGTAGTAGTAACAGTAGTAGTAGTAACAGTAGTACGTCGTCCTCCATGCCGTCGTCGTCGTCGTCGTCCTCGCCGTGTCTAGAAACGTCCCGTCGTCGTGATGAGTCATAGCAACGGCAGTACATACGACAGTGCACTTGGTTCCGTGATAGCAGCTAGCGAAAGTGGAGCTCTGTACATGGCCCACCTACTATGCTGGTAATAGGCAATACCACTCAAGAAGCGGTCTGGAAACTCCCACCCTCGCACCCGGAACCTCCTCTTCGGACTCGGCAGCCTTCGGAGCACCTTTGGAGCCCCCTGCTGCCTGCTTGGCCTGGGCTGGTCTTTCTCAGAGGGCACCACCGGTACACTTGGCAGGAAGCTGTTCCAACACAGCGAATTGGCAGTAGCATATGTAGATACGTAATCGGGATTTCGAGCTCAAATCTCTGGGTAGCAGCTTCAGGGGTGGCGACTCGAAAATAGATTGCACTGTCATGGGTTGTAGTCAGGTCGTGCCTGGACCTACCATCCGGAGGGCGCAGGGCCCGAGGAGTGCATAACAGTCTAGGTCACCATTGCAGCCGTTGACCGAACACTGTCACAGTGTGCGGGGAATCTGGAACGACTATTTGAGCAAGATTGCCACGCAATCTTGCAATCTTGCTCCACTTGCTCCACTTGCCCCACTTAGGGGGTGGTCAATCTTGGTCTGAAGAGGTAAACTAGTCGGCGAGCAAGTGGGGCAAATGACCAAGATTGCAAGATTGGCAAGATTGCTGACAATCTTGCTTGTGGACCAAGACTGCCAAGATCGCAAGATGACCAAGATTGCCAAGACGGTTCCACAAAATAGTTGTTCCAAATTCCCGGCACAATGCACTGTCCCCACATTTGGGGTCGTCGCGAAGATCCTTTAGAATTTCCAACTAGTTTCAAAGTGATAGCGAGTCGCAGAACCTGCGGCCTTGCCAACGGCACTGGATGCTCCAGCCGCAGCGCCCCTGAGCACACACAGCATCCAAAGCAGGCCAGGAAAGCATCCAAAATGCAGTGTGCTGGGAGCCCGGCGCGAATTTCATTTGGGTTCCAAGGCTTACCATCGAGTGGACTGTATGGGGCCACTTCGCAGTGGCTGCCCCTTGGCAGCTCTATGCAGTGAGTCCAGGATGACAGTGAACATGAGCTGTGCCAGAACAACAGCCTGCAAATGTGAAGATCTAACACACCTTGTGGAATGCAAGCATTGGGCAACGTGTACACTGTGTCAGTCCCGACCTCTACGCTGAGTCAAGCCGAAATAGCGGCAGCAGCACAGGTGAGAAGTTGGGCTACATAGACGAGCACATTTGCCATGCAGAGGCGGAACCGTGCAGCACCAAGGAGGGACTGTGACTAAACATCAAGTCTTAAATCAGTGTCAAGCAAGGGGCTCGCCACATGCTCCCATGCCACCACCTTGGAAAGATTCAAGCTTATGAAGTTGGGTCCTCGAAGCCCAGGTAAGGTGAAGTCGTCGAATGATTGGTGACGTCCTGGTAGGGGAAGCTCGCTCTCACGCCGCACACAGGTCGCACATGTGGCTGAGGCCTCTTCTTCCGGCTTGGGTCGAAATCCTAGGGATGGCAGCTTCAAAAGCACGTTGCTTGTGTAGCTTTACTGGCTGAAGCTGAGAGCAGCGCCCTGGGCGAGAAGCTTTCTTGCGATCAACCGTTCCTTCTCCCAACCTGCAAATACAACCCAGAGGGCCGCCTCTGACTGGCTGTGGTGCATAATTGAAGGAATCTCAGAGGCCTGGATCTGCCCCGAGGAGATCGTCATCTTCGGCCGCTGTGTCTGTAACTTCCGCTTCGGCAGCTTCCGGGTCGGCAGTGGGAGCTTCGACATCGTCCGTGGCCGTGGCCTCCTCGCCCTCAAGGTCGATGACGTCAGCGTCTCCTTCCATGCATCGCCACTTCGGCAACACTGCAACCGACATGTTCTCAAATCGCAGCGCAGTCGGAGCCTTCGGCCGCCTCGGCCGCCAGCTCGGTCTCTTCGGTCTCTTGGGGCTCCAGCTCGGCCAGCTCGGCCTGGGCCTTGGGCTCTTTTTGGAAGGTCCCACAATAAATTCAAGTCTCGTCATGCTCACGTCAGCGAATCAGGGTTGGGTGCACCGTGCAGATCTCTCGGGATGATGAACATGCAGGAATACAGTTTAAATTGTCGGCACAAGTATGATCTCGCATTAGACTATGATGTGCAGCGGCCAAGAAGAGTATGAAACGACAGACTTTAGGGCTGGCCCGGGCTGATTGGGGCACGAACCGCGGAGTCCTCCTCCGCCGTCTCCTCAGCTGGCCGCTCAGCCTGCTGAGGATCGCAAACGCCAAAAACTCCGGCGCAAACCCGAACCGCCCCAAGGAGTAGCCGCCTTTCTTTTCGGCCGGGGCTTCGGACGTGGCGCCAGGGCTAAGACCTGGCCGAAGCGACGCCGAGGTTTTTGCAACGGCTAAGCCCCTTTCTTGCTCTGCACCTCCGCTCCATTCTGTGCGGGCCCTGTTGTCCGCACGGATTCGGTCTCCTGCCACGTCTCACTGGTGACGGCCGGCCCCTGCCGTTGCCCCTACGAAATGCAGCTATGAAAGCTCGCCGCTGTGCAGTGCTCTTGACACTGTTCAATTGTCGTTGGTCAACCTCAGAGCACTTCCTGAGAAGCTCACCCGTGCTGGCAGGTGTCGGAAACGTGTTTCGCACTTGTCTCCAGCCATCAGGTGCACCACGACGACGTAGAGTAATGTGAGATAGTCAAGTTCGAGTGACACGTTTTCTTGGACGAACGAGATACATGCTCCACGAAGGGACTGGAAGCCACTTGCACCTACACCCCGTCGCCGACAGTGACATTTATTCCAGGACTCTGGGCCATAGGGGCTCGCGGGACCTGAAGCCGTCAAGGCCCTAGACGCGAAGTTGTGTCCTGGCTCTGTTCATTTCTCGTCGTAGGGCTTTCGTCGCGCTTCCATCCTGGGCAATGCACGCGATTTGATGCCGGCATGTCGGTGGCTTTCCGTTTTTCGCTTCGGGGCCTGTGGTTCAGGGCAAGATGCCCATCTTACAGGCAGATTTCTAGAGGAAGCCGATTTCTACCTATGTCAGGCAAGAGGGTGGGTCGTTCAAACTTCAGGCGAGTTTCGGAATGACTTGCCGCCGCCGTTTGTGCCGTAGAACGTCCACTGCACTTCCTCACCGCGCAGGTCGAAGCTCCCTCGTGTGATCGTTGCGGCTGTACACCGGCCTTGTCGTGGGGTCTGAATTTGTCGAGGTAGTAGCCTGACGGATCTGCGCTGAGACCGCAGCAAGCTTCTCACAAACAAAGTTAATGTAAGACGAGAGTCGTCCCGACTTGCCCCACTTGAAAGTGTGCCATCTCTCCTGCCGGCTCGACAAGAAACTCTGCGAACTTCGTTTTCCGCAAACCCTATAAAGGCCCTGCATCCGTTAAGGGGGCGGCGGTCCTCCCAGACGAGCCAGTTCTGGAAGGTCCGAGACCCCTTTGCGTTGTCGATGCCTGACACATTCACAGAGGTCAAATACCTTCAAAGCTGTACGGAACAAAACGCCAAAAACCACAAGCGAGCCGAGGCTGCGGATGGTCGCGCCAGCGACGACGTAGGTCTCGCCGGCTTTCTGAGACATGCAATGAAGGCCGAATTCCAGAATCTGATTGTTTCGCAGAGCTGCACCGGCCTGTGCATTGGTCCACTCCCCTTGCAGGAAATCAAGAGCCTGGTGTCTGGAATGCAGAGTATTCAGCTGGCGCATACCGAAACTAACAGCGACAACGAGGGGGACGACGATGACGCATGAAGCGGACCACTACCGCAAAATCAAGCGGCGGCTGCTACTGCTGTTGCTGTTGCTGCTGCTGCTGCTGCTGCTGCTGCAGCTACCACACAACTACATCGACTGCTTGACCAGTATGATTGTCACCACCACCACCACCGCCACCGCCACCGCCACCGCCACCGCCACCACCACCACCACCACGACCACGACGACAACGAGTACTAGTCCTACTGCGACTGCTGCTGCTCCTGCTGCTGCTGCTGCTGCTGCTGCTGCTGCTGCTACTGCTGCTACTGCTACTGCTACTGGTGCTGCTACTGCTGCT